TGTATAATTTAAATGTGCAATTAATTAAAAACTGAATTTAAGAATCTTTAGAAGCAAAATTGTTTTATTTTTTTTTCAGATAATCTAAATTTTTTTAACTTTATAAGCAAAAAAATTAATCTAACAATTTTTTTACTTTTTAAAATCAAAATTAAACTAATTATTTAATATTTAATCCGTGTAATTATTATTATTATCATTATTATTATTATTATTATTAATTATATTAAAGGCACATAAATTGTATTTTTTAAAATAATTTAAAACGAAAATTACAGGTGTTTTACTCGAATTTTATATACTTTCAAGTACGTTACATAAGGTGGAATTCGTTTAAAGGATGTTAACTTATAACTAATTTTCTAAAAAATTATTATAATTTATGATTTTTTTTTGGATATTTTTTTTATATATCACAGTTTGAAGCGATAAGTCGGCCATTTTTAATTATTATTACCTTGTTTTTATAATTACACGTTATGTACGAAGGCTCCTGAAGTGTTTTTCTTTAATTATTATAATATATTTTTCTGATTTTTTAGAGAAAAAACCGGCATTTTTGACATGGAAAGTCGATAATCGCGCGAATGCGATACAAATTTTCTGTTTTTATTTATTTTTTTTTTACAAATTTAACAATAAATTTCCATGGGTTACGAAGGCTCACCCGAGGATGACATGTGCTCGTGATGGGCAGAGGATACTGTAAGTAGATGAGAGGAAGATGAGGAAGCCGAAGATGAGGCATTGGAGCGTGGCCATCGTTGGTGGAGGGATGTCAGGCTGGAATTTATACTTCCTCCAACCCCACCTTGGCTACTCCCATCTTTATCATTACGTCTACCGCTGATGTCACCCGCTTGCTTCAATAGTTGGTAGATGGGATCTACGTCTTGTTCTGTAATTACCAGACATAACAGGTTCTTGGTTCACACATTTTGTTTTTTTTTTAAATATAAAATATCTATTTATATTTATATTCATAAGTACGCAATAAATATAATCAGTCGGATCCCCATCCCGTTGCCTACCTGTAAAATTAGGCAAAAATGTCCGAAATTCGCATAAATAAACTTTGATTTCTAATTAATTAATATCTAAACCACGATGCTGTATCGATAAATAAAGTAAATTTTAAAAAAATAACACATTTAAAATTAAAATTCTTATCTTAAATTGAAGTAGAATAGTGTAAGATGAATAATTAAGCAATGAAGTAAACGTAAAAATGATCGTGAAGATAAATAATCAAGCACAAAAGTTCCTAACGACATTTGTAGTCTATCAATTGATAATGGAGATAGCGCTTTTTTATCTTTTACTCTCCTTGTAAGTTTAATTGGCTAATCGTTACTCCGCCTCCTTCAATCAGCCAATAGAGTAACGGTTTAAATTTCAAATTCAAATTCTCGAATAAAATTTTAAAAATTAGATTCCTAGGTTCATTTTGTGCTTAATTAAACCGAATTTTTGCTTCTTCATTAAATCGTTTCGATAAATAATTAGCTTTTCCGATTATTTATCATTAAAATATGCCAAAATTAGCCTATGCAATACGATTAAAAACAGTGTTAAAAGAGCAAAGACAAGCAAAAGAAATGGAAATCCGACTGTAAAAATAGTTATTCATGCAAATTATAACTATAAAAAAAATTCTATAAACTAAAGCTCTAAAGCTGTAAATTATCGTATTATCAGGCCAATTACATGCCTGCTACTTATGTATAATTGAAATTTAATCTATAATTCTATCTATACTATTGAAAGATGCATAGAAATAGCATTTTTATTAGTTGGAAAGAAGTAATAGAGAGAAGATATTTAGCACGTCATGCAAATTAGTGCTGTATTTTCTATACCGAAGTCAAATTTTTTTTTTGAAGAAAATAAAAAATAAAAAAATGAAATTAAAAGTGTGTTCGATGATAGTGGAAGACTCGTGGTTGCACCTGTCTCTGATGTAGATATATTCACCACTTACTATCTTCTTCGGGTTCTGTTGCCAACATTTTCGTTTCGATCTCAGACGTGGACTTTTGTCTTCTCAAAAGACGTGGTTTTGGCTGTTTAAAAATGGAATTTTGTTAGAAAAAAGTGAGGTTAAATCATAAATAATTAATTTAAATTTTCAGAATATAAATATAGGTAAAAAGTGTTTTTTTTTTAAAAAAAAAATTATACGTGACGGAGAATTTATTATTCTAGATTTTCGGCTTCTTTTAGGTTACAGTTTTACCTCCTTACTGTCCTTAAGGAGATGAAAATCTTGAAGAATTGTGGCTTCGTCTGGGTTTAGGTATTTTAATTTAGGTGTACCAACAAAATTTATATTTATATTACGTAAGAATTACATATGTATATTCCAGATTTTAACCTATTGTAAGTTACAGCCATTAAAGAGCTGAACGTTTTGTAGAATTATGAGTTTTATGCATCTTGAATGAGGAATACAAAAGAAATTTTCTGTGTAGGAAATGATATATAGTATATGTATATCAGTTCCAACTCCAAGACTCTAAAGAATTGAAAGTCTTGAAGTTGGAATTTGAAAGTACAGTACAAGGAACTGATACTTTCAGTTCCAGTTCCAAGACTTAGTTCTTTATACTTTAATTATTAAGGAGCTTAAAGTCTTGAATAATTATGATTTTGTGTATCGTAAATAGGAGATCAGAACAAGATTTTGTATAGAATTAACCATTATATCTGACAGGAAACCTCTATAAGAATTGCAGTAGGAAGAGCAATTTAAAAACAAAAAATATTGGAGAGATAATTTTAAAAATCGTATAAAAGATTTAAGAGGCAAAGGCGTAGTTTAAAAATAGGGAAAAAATATCATTTTANCGACATTTGTAGTCTATCAATTGATAATGGAGATAGCGCTTTTTTATCTTTTACTCTCCTTGTAAGTTTAATTGGCTAATCGTTACTCCGCCTCCTTCAATCAGCCAATAGAGTAACGGTTTAAATTTCAAATTCAAATTCTCGAATAAAATTTTAAAAATTAGATTCCTAGGTTCATTTTGTGCTTAATTAAACCGAATTTTTGCTTCTTCATTAAATCGTTTCGATAAATAATTAGCTTTTCCGATTATTTATCATTAAAATATGCCAAAATTAGCCTATGCAATACGATTAAAAACAGTGTTAAAAGAGCAAAGACAAGCAAAAGAAATGGAAATCCGACTGTAAAAATAGTTATTCATGCAAATTATAACTATAAAAAAAATTCTATAAACTAAAGCTCTAAAGCTGTAAATTATCGTATTATCAGGCCAATTACATGCCTGCTACTTATGTATAATTGAAATTTAATCTATAATTCTATCTATACTATTGAAAGATGCATAGAAATAGCATTTTTATTAGTTGGAAAGAAGTAATAGAGAGAAGATATTTAGCACGTCATGCAAATTAGTGCTGTATTTTCTATACCGAAGTCAAATTTTTTTTTTGAAGAAAATAAAAAATAAAAAAATGAAATTAAAAGTGTGTTCGATGATAGTGGAAGACTCGTGGTTGCACCTGTCTCTGATGTAGATATATTCACCACTTACTATCTTCTTCGGGTTCTGTTGCCAACATTTTCGTTTCGATCTCAGACGTGGACTTTTGTCTTCTCAAAAGACGTGGTTTTGGCTGTTTAAAAATGGAATTTTGTTAGAAAAAAGTGAGGTTAAATCATAAATAATTAATTTAAATTTTCAGAATATAAATATAGGTAAAAAGTGTTTTTTTTTTAAAAAAAAAATTATACGTGACGGAGAATTTATTATTCTAGATTTTCGGCTTCTTTTAGGTTACAGTTTTACCTCCTTACTGTCCTTAAGGAGATGAAAATCTTGAAGAATTGTGGCTTCGTCTGGGTTTAGGTATTTTAATTTAGGTGTACCAACAAAATTTATATTTATATTACGTAAGAATTACATATGTATATTCCAGATTTTAACCAATTGTAAGTTACAGCCATTAAAGAGCTGAACGTTTTGTAGAATTATGAGTTTTATGCATCTTGAATGAGGAATACAAAAGAAATTTTCTGTGTAGGAAATGATATATAGTATATGTATATCAGTTCCAACTCCAAGACTCTAAAGAATTGAAAGTCTTGAAGTTGGAATTTGAAAGTACAGTACAAGGAACTGATACTTTCAGTTCCAGTTCCAAGACTTAGTTCTTTATACTTTAATTATTAAGGAGCTTAAAGTCTTGAATAATTATGATTTTGTGTATCGTAAATAGGAGATCAGAACAAGATTTTGTATAGAATTAACCATTATATCTGACAGGAAACCTCTATAAGAATTGCAGTAGGAAGAGCAATTTAAAAACAAAAAATATTGGAGAGATAATTTTAAAAATCGTATAAAAGATTTAAGAGGCAAAGGCGTAGTTTAAAAATAGGGAAAAAATATCATTTTATGTTATTATATATTTAAAATTTAATTTATTCAAAAGTTCCACAAAGAATTAAAAAATATATATGTTTTAAGTAAGTTATAAATAAATTTATAAAATTCTTAAATTAAAACATAAAGATATATCAATATTTATCACATTACATATAGAATATATATATTATAATATGCAGTATAAATTATAGAAAATATACAGTAAATACTTTAAGTAATTAAAATACATACAAAATTAATTATTTAAGCCAAAAAAATAGCATTCTAAATACTATTTTTACCTGGCATTTGCTAACTTTGTCTTGACAGTCAGCATGTACGTTCATTTTACACATCTTACATTTCAAACCTTGACGGACGTGTCCTTTAAATTTAAAATTTCTTAATTAGTTATTTAATAAATAAATAAATAATTTATCAAATTTCGACAAATTAAAATAATCACCTCGTAGAATTTGACTACAATAATCACAAGGTGTAATTTTTTTGTATGTGTATTCTTGAAAGATATGTTGACCAGTATCAAGAGGTGATGGTGTAGCTGACTGAGGCCTAGTAGGTCCTTTACCGTTTTTCTTATCCCCCAAATCGTTCCTAACGTAAAGAATTAATTATATTCGGCTATAGAAAAGTCTATTCTTCCACTTAAATATATATATACAGGATGGCCTAAAAGTCGGGCAACCGAATATCTTGCCAGCAACTTAGCAACACACGAGCTTAGTCTCTACACTGGTTAATCGACTTTTGGGCTGTCCCGATTTTTATGTTAATTAAAATTATTCTTTAATTTATTAATATTTAACATTTAATTTGCGTTCTTTTTTTTAAAATACACGAATTATTTTAAGTATAATTTTTGAAGCATTTTTATATTTAATTGAATTTTAGAAACTTAAAATAATAATAATAATAATATTATTAAGATAATTAATTTGTTGATAAACATTTTTAAAAAATAAATGATCATCAGGAACAAATTACAATTTAGGTTAATGCTAATTTGTCATCCACGACACAAAAAAAACTCTTTTATCTTTATTAAATTAGTTTCCTCCTGTACATAAATGTATAACCGAGTTATAAATAACTCACTCCAACATTTTACAGATGTTCTTTTTTTTTAAAAAAAAATACAATAATTTTAAGTCTCCAACAGGCATTTTTTCGTCGATACGTTGTTAAAAACCTCACAAATCTGCGTTAATTACTTAAATTTTTTACAAGAATATAAAATATTTCGACAGTGATTTAATTATTCGTAGAATTAAAAACACTTTCCGCGTAATTTTTTAACGTAATTTTACTGTTGAAAGTCGTGTATAAATCACAAATCTTATCGGGAGTCAACCTATGTGCCAACGTGGAAAAATAGTTATATACACGTAATTTTTATATATATTTTTTAAAGAAAATATAAAATTTTATCGTTTATACAAGTCATATCTTACATCTTAAATCTTTTGATTTATCGTAGATAGGTCACATTACTTTTTATTATGCCTTCTACTGTGTGGAATAGTGGGAGTAGACACGTATTTTTTTAGTTTATATGGTAAATTCGAAGGTTTAAACGAAATTTGTTTAAAAAAATTCTTTTTATGTTTATTCTAGTAAAAATTATAATTTATGTACTTTTTTTAAATGAATTTAAAGTGTTTAAATTCGCTGTAAAATCGCAGTAATTAAACATAATTAATGCGGTTACCTATCCATCGTGTATAAAAAAACGAATTAATTAGAATTAAATTTAGTATGGAAAAATTAAATTGTTTTAATATTTCGGGGTAAAAATTGGATGTTAAAATATAAAAATAAACATCTGATTTTTTTAAAAGTTTACATCATATTTCTATCTTGAATAGTTGAAAATGTATTGAATTACAGTCTGTAGATGTGTATCTCTTGGTGTGCGAGTCATTTTTTTTATGTTCTCTCCTCCATTATGAGCTTCAATTTAATGTAAATTCACTAGTTCGTGTTTTATATATACAGTAAAATTCCCCTAACACTGTAATCTCGGATATGTGTTCAATTTAGTGAGGTGCCCAACATAGAAAATAAGAGAAAATTACATTCATCTTCTCTACTTTCAATTGATATTCCTCTAAATTGGACTTATGGTAAATCTCAAGTTGGACAACCTTATATTTCAGTGAAATTTTGACATAAATACGTGTATATATTAGTGTAATGAAGACATTTGTGTAATAAATACACACAGATTTATATAGAACTACTTTCCAGTATGGATGTCCAACTTGAGTGATTTTATTGTGTTTCTGGAAAATTTAAACAATTTATTTTATGTTTTACATAAATATGTTAGGGTGATTCGTGTAATAAATATTCATAGATTTATTCCTAGTGTGTATGTCCAACTTTTACTATATTTCTGCTAAACTTAAACACATTTTTCAACTTTCTGTACAGTTACATACTTTAAATAAATATTTGTGTTAAACATGATAGAATTAATATTGTATTTGTGTAAATACACTTGTCGATTTACATAAAATTGCATTTTGTACTACGCAATTTGAGGGATTTTATTCTAATTCTGCTGAAATCACACTTAAAAATGTGTATAAATCTGTTAAATATGTTAGAATGATTAGTGTATTTGTGTAATAAGTACACATAGATTTACAAAAAAACATACTAAAAATTACATCGATTTATTCCAAGTATCAATAACTATACATAGAAGTTACGGTGGATACAAGGAATCAAGAAAAAACAAAGAAATAATAGAATCAAAATAATAACAATAATAATAATAATTAAACAGAAATTAGAAAAATTGACAATACTATATACATAATTAAATTATACATTTGTATCTATAAACATTCCAGTTATGTACAGACACTTTTCTATTTTAAATTTCATAAATTTATGCATTCGCAAAGACAGGAAAGAAAAAAAAATTATATAATTTCTTATTTTGTTTTTAATAATCTAATTTACAAATAATAATAATAATCATAATAATAAGAATAATAACAAACAATCATCTACATTTTATCATAATTTCGTTTATTTTTACATTAAAATATTTTGCAAAATGTTAAAGTTTAACGCTTAACGTGCATAAGTAATACATGCAAAAATTACACATTAATCACATACATACACATGCAACATTAGTTAGTTTCAGTTAGTAATTAACGTAAAGGTATTAGAAGAGGGGAGAACCTATCAGTTGTGTAATTGTGTGTATTGTTTAAAATTTGGAAAATAATTAGTTACATAATATATATATTTTTCACTTTTTGTNCTTTTATTCACAATAAAAGAGAGAGAATACGTGTTAAATTCTAATTAAGAATCTAATTATAAAATAAAAATCTGTCATTTATTTACCACTTGTCCAGATTCGTTTTCGGCTCTCGGTGCCATAAATAAATGGGTTTTTAGAGGTGCCGTCGCCTTTTCTAGGTTGAGTGTTTTTATAAAATTGACTAAATCCGTTTTACTGTTAACATTTCTACATGCCGAACACAGATTATCGTAATGGTTCCCTTGTTCTCTTGCCTGTAAATAAAAACCATAATATATTATATTTAACAATAAGTAAATACAAAACAGGACACGTTGATAATAATTTGAATAGTTTCCAAAATGTTTCTATCAAACTGCATTACAATACATTGTAAGAACAACCATTTTAATGACGTCTAGGGGTTAAAAAAAGGCCTATTTCGAGAAGGTCGACCTTGTTGACATTTACGTACCTTGCTTGCCAACATTTCGGCAGCGGCCACCATAGAACCAGCTACAGTATCGCTAAGGTCCAGGTATACATGCTCTAATTCCTGAAACAAACAATATAAATTACACACCGATACCCCAACGTTATAATATATCACACAATGGCTTCTTCTTTCTAAAGAGACAAATGAATTTTTAAAGTGTTTTTTTTATACGTGTTCCCCTCTGTAATGGTTTAAGTTTAAGTTTCTATAATAAAATTTCACGGGTTTGAAACAATATGGACAGTAAGAGGTCAACCAAGAAAGCAAATATTAAACAAGCACGTAAACACTTATAAAATATTTTGATATGTTTATATTCTCAGTTGCATGTTGAATATATTATACCTTTCTTTCCTTCCACAAGGTAAATGTTATCAGAAACATGTGAAAAAATATTAAACTTTCCATATTTTCAATCAGGTGTAGAAGGAATTTTATATAGCCTATATATATAAGTCCAGTTTGAATTTATTTTATTTTTAAATTATATAAGTCCAGTTTGAATTTATTTTATTTTTAAATTATACTTTAAAAATGTCTTTTTATAAACTGTCATTTCGTCACAAGCTTTTAGACACTTGAGCATATAAATCACAAACGATTCTTCTTTATCTCCCACACCCATTGTTTGTTTGTTTTTTTATGTTTTCTTGCAAAGATTGAACATCAAAGTCTTACTTTTCTGGCATATTGATGCTACCAGTCTTGAGGCTTCGGAAAGCTTTTAACCATTTATTCTTCATACCGGCTGTGCTACTTGTCGAGGTTTTTCTATCTCGATTGTGTTGGTTTTCATCAGAATGGTTCCCTTCTTTTGAAGCAACCAATTCCAACTGGACAGGAAATGAAAAAGAAAGAAAATGTATATATATATTTCGAGTATTATTCGTGACATAACACAGTACAAAACCTTGTATAGTGTTTCTTTTTATCAACGCTACAGTCAAACCTTGATTTAGCGCCCTCGTAAATAGCGATACTTTACTAAAGCGCCAATAAATACAGGTATGTAGACTTTCCTCGCGAATAGAAAACCCTTCAATGTCTGCAAATTATTGTACATTTAGTATCACTAAGTCTTGTGCTGAAATTGTCACTAAATCGAAACAAACTGTGGTGCTAAATCGAAGTCTGACTGTGTCTTTAATTGTAATAATAATATATTTTAATTACCTGAGCTCTAACAGCAGCTAAATGAATGTTTGCTACTTGAAGATCGAAACGTTTCATACTAATATCTTCTTGTAATTCATTTGATTTGTTATATAAATTCGATTCTAAGCTCCTGAAAATATGAAAAAAAATCGATAAATTTAATTATTCATTTTATTATTTTAAGATAGAATAAATGAAATTAATCAAACAGTTTTATTTACATTTTTATATGTTTTAAATGAATAAATTATAGTCTAAATATAAAGCGATCAATCAATTAGCGTAACACTATATGAATTATGTAGGCGTAACTATTAATATCAAATAACATTTAATTGGTTATTTAATATCTACGTTATAATATTCCGTTACTTAATTAGCCGAAAGCAAATAACCAATCATTTTGAATTAGTTTATAAAACTGAACCAATCATAGAATGTTTGAGAAATAGGCGTGAATTATTAATTTTAATTTCTTCCCTTCCTTTTTATATACAAATACAAATCACGTGGGCATGGCTATTAATAATAAATAAAGTTAATTGGTTATTTAATATCTACGCTGTAATACTGTTATTTAATTTGTCGAAAGCAAATAACCAATCATTTTCAATTAGTTTATCAGCCAGAACCAATCAGAGCACGAATTTATTAATAAAGGCGTGATTCGATCAAGGATGAAATTTATTTTTCTGTATTTTTACCTAGAAAATTGGCAATGGATTTAAATGTTAATTGACAATTTTTTTGAAGTGAAAAATTTCTGTTTACAGAATTTCTATTCCTTTGAAGTAATTTTTGTTTTTTAAATTAACATTTATTTATTTTTACTTTTCGAGAAGTCATCTTTTTAAAAACATACATATACATAAAATAACAAACGTTTAATGTTTCACTAAAATATTTTAACCTATTTATACCTCTGTTGCAGTCTAGTCAGCGAGTCTACTGCTTCTTGCAATTGTCTAATTTGCGATTCCAAGTTGGAAACATCTTGTCTCAAGCTTTGTGAACGATTAGGCAGTGACAAATGGGCGATTCTCTCAACTACCAATTCGTTTCTTAACATTAACATGGGATCGGGTGTCTGAAACGAAGCACAATATGATCAATTGTTATTATTTTATGTATAATAATTATGTAGTTTATCTAAGTCACAACGAAACTATACAAAGTAAACTCGTGTAACATTATTGATAACATTAATAAGTAAATATAAGTCGTACTCGTAAGAGAGAATTCTTACAATCTCTTACAATATTTAGCAATCGTGATATAAATTCCGAATGCTTGCAAAAGCACTCGTCTTAATACAAAGTTCTAACTTTCCTGTTGAATTAATTATTCACGAGTTGGAATGAGGAGTAAATAAATCTGGAATTAACGATCCTTTTATTCACAATAAAAGAGAGAGAATACGTGTTAAATTCTAATTAAGAATCTAATTATAAAATAAAAATCTGTCATTTATTTACCACTTGTCCAGATTCGTTTTCGGCTCTCGGTGCCATAAATAAATGGGTTTTTAGAGGTGCCGTCGCCTTTTCTAGGTTGAGTGTTTTTATAAAATTGACTAAATCCGTTTTACTGTTAACATTTCTACATGCCGAACACAGATTATCGTAATGGTTCCCTTGTTCTCTTGCCTGTAAATAAAAACCATAATATATTATATTTAACAATAAGTAAATACAAAACAGGACACGTTGATAATAATTTGAATAGTTTCCAAAATGTTTCTATCAAACTGCATTACAATACATTGTAAGAACAACCATTTTAATGACGTCTAGGGGTTAAAAAAAGGCCTATTTCGAGAAGGTCGACCTTGTTGACATTTACGTACCTTGCTTGCCAACATTTCGGCAGCGGCCACCATAGAACCAGCTACAGTATCGCTAAGGTCCAGGTATACATGCTCTAATTCCTGAAACAAACAATATAAATTACACACCGATACCCCAACGTTATAATATATCACACAATGGCTTCTTCTTTCTAAAGAGACAAATGAATTTTTAAAGTGTTTTTTTTATACGTGTTCCCCTCTGTAATGGTTTAAGTTTAAGTTTCTATAATAAAATTTCACGGGTTTGAAACAATATGGACAGTATAACCAAAGTCTAGGCATTGTTCCAAGTTAGTTTTTTTTTACAAGGAGAATTTCATTGTTTTTCTATTGTACGCTTTGTATTATTGATAAGAAGCCAGATTTACTATAGGTAGAGAATACTTACTTCTAGTAATTTCGGTAATATTTGCGCGTGATAATATTCTAGCATCCCATTTGCAGCTCTTAATTGTTGGACGTATGCATTATGCATGTCGTAGTATTCAGCTAGTTGAGCATGATTTCTGGAACTAAGTAATTTCTTGTATGCATCACTATAATCTTGGTGGCACTGAAAGATAATTTCATACTTTAAAATATTGCTTTTTTCTACAATTTAATAGTAAATATTTTACTAAATTGATAATTATAAAAGTTGGAGAACGTGGTAAAGAGGTAGAAAGTAGATTTTCTAAACATTTTTATTTTAAAATTATTCTTAAATTCTGGAATTAAATTCGAGTCCGGAATTCCAGAAAATAAAATTTAATAATTTTTTTGAATTTTTTAATTTCTCTAAAATTTTCTTTTTATTTGATTTTCATGCTGTATTTTCGTTAGTTAATAATCTAAGAAATTAATTAAAATAACCCAAAAAAAACCTAAAAGTTGTGATAAAATTCTATAAATTAGAAAAAATTAAACTGAATTAAAAATTTAAGTAAATTTTCTTTGGATTTATGAATCTGTTTTAGTTTAAGAATCAGGAAACGGTGAGAAATTTTAATAAAATTCAATATATTTTCTAATAAAAAAAAATTACTCAAACTTCCAATAAAACGCAAATTAAATTAATAAACACAACTCTACGAGAATGAGAAAACTGCCATTATAGACAAATATATTGGCATGGTTCCTAGACGACAATCGAATTTTTAGAATGTCAAGACATTAAACAATATCACAAAATACATTTTTAAAATAATAAACCAATTAAATTTGTCGTTACAGACAGTGTTCTTCTGATAATAGACTATAGAAGTATTGTTTAAGTTATTTTTCCTTTTGATCTTTTCTGTTGCTATATTGTAAAATTTTGGCAAGGATTTCGAAGAAGAATAAAGTAGCCATTGTTATTGTTTGTCGTTTCTAAACTTGTTCTGTAGTTTATTCGAAGGATCAATGCATTGAACTAAGTAAACCAAGCAACTGTTGAATGTCGCCACTTGATACAACTGTTTAAATATATATATATTTTTCATGAAGAAAAATATTATAACAATAACAAAATACGTTTAAGTAGCTTCTTTACAAATATTTCACGTAAAAATTATTAATTTATTTCTGTTAAAATTCAAGAAAAATCCCTATAAGGGTGGAGATATGCTTTGTAAAATATAACAGTAAAATAATTAAATTTTATGCATTTAAATTGTAAATATTTTATTAAAATTAAATATATACATTTTTTTTTATAACTTTTATAATAAAGTTAAGCTGGCTTTTTTTAAACCAAAAAAAAAATCTACATATAAATGCATAATTAATATTATTTTTTAACTGAAGGTTTTTTTTTATTTTTCTCAAATTTATTTATTAAAAAAAAGGTTTTAAAAAATAAATAATATATAAATTCTTGTAAGAATCTTGATACTTTTTTGTATTAATTTAATTAAAAATTTATTTTGCAATTTGTAATTTTTAAAAAAGTTTGTTTTTTTTTTTCTTGTTGCATTTTTTTGGACATATGTTAGCATTTTTTAATTAATTATATTTAATTTTCTTCAAATTAAACTTATTTCCCTCTTCCCAATTTTATGCTGATTTAGTTAATTGTATTCTTAAATAAGAAAGAAATTTAATCAAATATAATAATAAGAATTATCTAAAAGTAGTCATCTGAATTTTGTTTATAATGGAACAAATATTAAATTATTTTTAAAAATTTAAAAATAAATTGTTTTAAACATAATATTATCTTTAAATTAGCTTCTAAAAATTTTAAAAGTTTATTAAATAATTTAAATATAAAGCACACAAATCTATCCGAAATAAATTCCTAAACAGAACGTGTTTTGGCTTTGGATGGGGGTCTGAACCCACGCTTCTTCTAACTTGTCGAATCTTCAACGAACACTTATGAAAAGATGTGGGTTCACATTCCACACAAAGCCAAAACCTACTCTGTCTAGGAATTTCTTGGTTGGGTATTAATTTATGCTTATACATTTTAAATTTCTATGAAATTTTAAATGCAAGCTAAGCATCCATCTAAAGAATTTCCCAGACAGAATATATTTTGGTTTTGGACGTCACTTATAAAAAGTCGGATCTCTAACCAATACAAGACAATTATTGGTTAAAGGAATCAGAACCTTTTGTAATGAAAGTTTTGCAACAACTAAGCGTGGGTTCTGTTCCTATAATTTAAGGCTACAACATATTTTTTTTTTTTCTGTTTGGATGTTCGGGTTTTTTTCTGTCGAAGGTCACAGTGGTTCCTTGTTTATTATTTAATTGCAGTTTTCAAAACTAATGTGTAAATTTACTTACTACGTTCTTCCTTCTTTATTTTTAAAATTACAATGTGCAAGTTTTAGTTTCCTTGCTTTGTATGTCAATAACAAGCGATCGCCTTTGTGATAAACTTATACAAAAATTTACAATCGCTGCCACTTTAGGGATTTAAAACTGAGTTTACTTGTAAAGCAATAGGGGTTTTAAAAAATATACAAAATTATATAGACTTTGTTTAGCAATTTATAATAAATTTTGTTAAACAGAAGTGAAAATTTCAATGAAAAACATTCATTGAAAAATTAGCTACTTGACAAGCTATTTTCATGGAATTTTATGAAATAAACTTCAAAAATAAAAATAATAAAAATTCAAAGAAAACCCCCATATTGAAATTCACAATGTGGACGATTGCCAGAAACAACAACGTTAGACTCAGTCATCTGATTGACTTTGCCAACATCAGCAAAATTTGCAAAGCATAAAAATCACTTGTTAACATGTTTAAATATTTAATTAACATTATTTTCCATTATCAATAATTAAAATTGTAATTATAATTGACGTCAAAACATCGCCAGGAGTTGCGAATCCACTCCGCTCCGGATATATCAAGTGATGACGGGTGCGACTTTATAAACGGCGGTTTCATAATAATTTTAACAATTTCTGCAAATTTTTTTTGAATAAATTAATTAATTGTTTTATTCACTTTCTAAAACTGCCGGTTTTTTCTATTAAATTAAACAAATAAACTTAAGTTAGACGTTACTATTTGGCAAGCTAACAACTGAATTGAGAAAGCGAAAACAAGATTTTTTTGAGCTACTTGACAAGCTATTTTCATGGAATTTTATGAAATAAACTTCAAAAAATAATAAAAATAACCATTCTTACCTTTTTAAGCAATTCTTCTGCTTTATTTAAAATCGTTTCAAAGCTTTCTCTATGTAGAAAAATTTTCCTAGATTGAATTTTTCTGTGGAAAGTCTTTTCCAGTAACATCATACCTTCATGCTGTATTTTCGTTAATTAATAATCTAAGAAATTAATTAAAATAACCCAAAAAAAACCTAAAAGTTGTGATAAAATTCTATAAATTAGAAAAAATTAAACTGAATTAAAAATTTAAGTAAATTTTCTTTGGATTTATGAATCTGTTTTAGTTTAAGAATCAGGAAACGGTGAGAAATTTTAATAAAATTCAATATATTTTCTAATAAAAAAAAATTACTCAAACTTCCAATAAAACGCAAATTAAATTAATAAACACAACTCTACGAGAATGAGAAAACTGCCATTATAGACAAATATATTGGCATGGTTCCTAGACGACAATCGAATTTTTAGAATGTCAAGACATTAAACAATATCACAAAATACATTTTTAAAATAATAAACCAATTAAATTTGTCGTTACAGACAGTGTTCTTCTGATAATAGACTATAGAAGTATTGTTTAAGTTATTTTTCCTTTTGATCTTTTCTGTTGCTATATTGTAAAATTTTGGCAAGGATTTCGAAGAAGAATAAAGTAGCCATTGTTATTGTTTGTCGTTTCTAAACTTGTTCTGTAGTTTATTCGAAGGATCAATGCATTGAACTAAGTAAACCAAGCAACTGTTGAATGTCGCCACTTGATACATNTTTTAAAACCCAATATTGTATTCTAACGTAGAAAAATCATTGTTTAAATTAAAACAGCTAAAAAAAATCATTGAATATTTTAAAAAATCTGCTTCATCTTTTACAAAATTTTTACTAATTTCTAATTAAAAAAAATCATTAAATTTCATCTAGTAATATATATAATTGTTAATTACATAAAATTAAATTAAATTGAAATCATTATGACTAAATTTAATAATTTAACTTAATTAAAAATAATTAAATTCGATGTTTTTTTAGGAACAAAATTAAAAATCAAAAAAATTTAATAATAATATTTTATTCAAAAAACATTTAAGTAAACTTTTAAAGCAAATTTCTAATTTTTTTTTTTATAATTTCTATTTAAAAAAAAAAACTTTTTTTTCTTGTAGGCCCTATTAGAGAATGGAAAAAATAAATTCCATAAAATTTAAAAAAAAATTAAACAAAAATTCTAAAAACTTATTTCAAATATTTTTTTTAAAAAAATCAAATCTAAAAAAACTTTTTAAATAAATATTTAAAAAATTCAATTTTATACTGACAACAGATGTTATATTTTACATTATAAAATTTATTTATTTATTTTTTAAATTTTGAGTAGAAAATAAAACTTTTTTCTAGTTTATTAGAAAATAAAGAATTTTTTAAGCGCTTACAATTTTAATTTTCAATACGCTTACGTGTAATTTAAAAAACACAATTTATAATTAAGAAATTAAAATTTTTTTGTTCCGAATTTCTTTTATTTTTAAAAAATTGCATTTTTTTTAAAGATGAAGATCAAAGAAATTTCTTAAGTTTTTTTGAATTATTTTTGCATTTTTATTTCAGAAATTCTTCTCTAAAAACGCATTTTTAGATGAAAATTTTAAGACTTGAGATTTTTTAGTGTGCTGCCTTTATTTATTTTGTATTTTTAATAGTTATAAATATATTATTTTTCTAATTTTATTTTGAATTTTATAACGAATTCAGAGAGTTATAAATCAAAAATTTTCAGAGATTATTATTATTATTATTATTATTTTTTTTGATTTTTGCTCATCTCAGCTACTTTCTGATCGATGTTTTCTTTATAAAATTGACAAGTAAAATGTTCAAAAAAACCTTCTTTAAGTTCATTTTCATGTAGTAAAGGTAGAATATTGATGTTTTTGGATACAAAAGATGAAAAGATTGAAAATCCTATGCTTCTAACAAAACATCAAATTTCCACTTTCGTGTTGTAAAGTTTTAGTATTAGAATTATTAAAATTTAGAAGAAAAATGAATTTTTTACATTAAAAAAATTTATTAAATATCCCAATTATAAACCGAGTAACTAAGTAGTTAAGACAGTATCTAAAAAAAAACCTAATAATAATCAGTTTCTTAACTACATTAAAGTTAAATATAATCAATTCTTTAATTGCATTTAATTTAAATATAATCAATTTCGTAATAATAGCGAATTTAATTTAGTTAATTTCATTTTAAATGGTAATTGATACTTTGTATCTTTTATACCACGTGGAAAATATTTCGCTTGGCAAGTGAGTGATGGAGTAATTTAATTAAGTTAAGTTTCATTTAAAAAATCATCTAAAATTATACTTTTCAGTAAAAAAAAATCAAAAATTTTGATGGCTTTTTTAAAAAGTTTTACAAGTTTTTCTTTAATTTTTTAAGTGATTTTTTTAAGAAAATAGTTTCAAAAAATTTATAAAATATTCTTTAAAAATAACTAACATTTACAAAAAACAATTTGTTAAAACTATTTTATAAAAAATCATTAAAAACGCGAAAATATTAAATTAAACATTAAAAATATTTATGAAAAATTCTTCTAATAAATCAAAAATTAATAACTTGAAAAATTTTTCACCTTTTTAAGTTAATTTTTAAGATTCTTTTCGATAAATTTCTTAAACAAAATTAATAATTATAAAACGTAATTAATTGATTTTCATTAATTATAGTAAATTTATAACTTTCGAGTCTAAATATCTTCATTATTTAACTTAAAGGACTCTTCGTTTGATTCTTATCTTAATTGAATCTAATGATTTTATTTACAAGGTAAACAACTTAAGAAAAATTAATTTTCTAACAATAATTTAATTCTTAATCTCCAAATTAAGATTTTAAAATTCTAAAATCATTTTATGAATGCTGTTTTCATAAAAATATTCGCTACTGTTTCTAAATCTTACCTGAGAATCGATCTCGACTTCTTGAAGGAGCACTTCCCAGATCGTAAAGAGACCACTTTGATAAGAAGGTCTATAAATAAATTTATATATAAAAATATTAAGATCGTTCCTTTACATAAATCATGTACAAGTACGGGTCTTAATTTATTATTTATCATTTTTAACCCGGCTTTCATATAAAATATAATAAAAAAATTGTTAAATGGAGTAGTTTAACTTTCGTGTTAATTCCTTATTTTTTTCTGTATCAATGGATTTTTTTTGTATTAATGAATAAAAAAATATAAAAAATTACCTAGAAAAATAAGTCTTGGACGTTATTTTGTTTTATTTTTATAAATATCAACAAATTTTCCAAAAAAATTCATTTTTTTTGGATTTAATAATGAATTTTTTTATTTTCGAAATTTTTTAAAAAATTCATTTTTATTGTCGTCATTTCTTAATTTTTTTTTAGTAAATTTCGGAATTTTTTTTAATATTATTGACTCGAAACTTACTTATTTTCTGAGTAATGAATCTTTTATTCTATTTTCTTCTATAATTTTGAATCAAAGAAATCAAATCTTTCAGCTCGCTTCCTTCCATAAACATCACCAGATTTTTGATATTTATTGAATAAAAACATCAAACATTCATTACTGAATAAAAATATAATCGATAAACTTATGTTAAAAAGTGAATGTTTCGAGTTGTCTTCCCTTATTTTCTTCTACAAATATCGACAGAATTTTCGATATTATTGAAGTTTTTTGAATAAAAAAAACCTTCATTAATAAAACAGAAATCGAAAAGTGAAGAAAATGCATTTTTTACGTAATTTTTGGATGCTTTTTCTTTAAATATCCATAGATTTTTTTCCCATCTTATCGAAGAAAAACAAAGAAATTTTCCATCTTTCAGAGCATTTTCCTTGAATTTATCTATAAATTATCGATAATTTCTTGAAGAAAATTAATTTAATTTTATAAATATATTATAAAGATTAATTAAATTTTATCTAATTAAGTTTAACTTTTGTTATTTTATTTATAAATTGAGAAAGTTAGAGGTTACATACGTGAAGAAAGTCTAGAAATCTGAAACAACGTGGGGCTTGATAGTGAAATAATATATATTTTTTGATCAGTAACTGATGTATCGAGTTCAGTATTTTACAGTCGTATAGGTTGAATTTTATATTACTCCCGGTGCATTAAAAATATTGTCTGTGAGTCGAATTTCTTGTGTTTTCGAGCCTATTTTTCTTGGTATTTCCAACAATACTAAGCTCGTGTATAGAATTCCTAAGCTGTACTTTAGTAGTATCATTTCTACTTAAATCTGTATTCAATAAAGGATGAGATGCTCGAATCAGAATGGATCTTATAGCAGAATGTGTGTACAATATATTGCTTTGATCAAATAGTGTCAAGTTACAAGAAAATGCTGAATTTTTTTCTATTTTTAAAGCTGTAGAACACATTGAAAAGGGCAAAAAATGGGAAGAGAATAAATCATAAAATGGTATAAAATAATTTATAGGGGATTAAATTTAATAATAATGGGTAAATATGGAGTAGCAGTTTATATCGAGTAAGCTTGAATAAAGTAGTAGGAAGAAATGTAAAATATTGGAAATAAATAAGGAAAAATTGGAAATTAATAGGGGAAATTTGTTAATAAACCAAAAAATACTCATAAAAATCAAAAATTTGGCAGTAAAAATCTACTATTTTGCAGGAAAAACGTTATAGAAAAGGCAAAATGTGATGATGTAATAAGACAGAATTTTGAGGAAATAATGATGATAAATAATAAAAGTACGTGAAGAATTTAATAAAATAGCAGAGAAGTAATTAAAGAGTAAAATAATTTATGTAAAAAATGCAAAATTTTCAAAAAAATTCATAGTTTAAACATGCGAAAAAGCGCATCAAAGGAGGGAAGTTTAGATTTATTACACTATAAAAAGAATTTAAAAAATAAAAATAGTAAATAGTAAACAACAGAAAGTAAAACGTAAAATAAACAAAATGGAATACATAAAAAGCAAATTGGAGCAAGCAAAGTGCATAAAATAATTGATTTAAAGTATTGAAACCGGTAAAGAAATTTGAAGAACATGTAAAGAACATAAGACAATAACATTGTCTACTTGACCACACGTTTTTATATTATAAAAAACTTAATATTTCGTCAAAAAATGTTATTTTTACTGACCTTTCTCTTCGTAATTCCGCATTTCTCTTCCTGAACGTTTCAACCAAAAGTTGCAGTTCTTCAGCGTGTTGTTCGTGAATGGACGATAACTGTTGTGTAAAATCGGCAACTACAACGTAAGAATCATCAAAATGTAAATTTTAAAACGTGTTTTAAACAAATCTAAACACTAAATAAAATAGCCGAATGAATTAAATTAGAAACAATTCGTATATAAAAATTTGTAACGTTGCCAACGCTTCGCTAGCGGTTGAGTAAATAAAAAGTTCAAATTACAAAGAATTTATCCATTTAAAGCATACAAATTTTATGCGATTTTTAAGGAAATCATATAAAAAATTAATTCCGATTAATTTAATTACGATTTACTGCCCGGTATTATTAATTTCGTTGATTTTTTTGGGTAAAAACTGCGCCAGACTGCGTATCTTACAGACGAGTAAACAGAGTCGAAAATACTACAATCCTCCTTCAAAAAAGAGTTTGGATAGGTTTTTTTGAAGGAGAAAAACTGAAGAAACAAAAACATTTTCTTGATACAACTTAAAAATCGTATTCTCGAGATGACTTGGACGTAAACTCTTGTTTTTCTAGTGCTCTTTTTCCACTATCTAAAAACCTTTTAACGAAGCTTATAAATCGGATTTTTTTAGAAATTTATAACAAAATATCTGTTTATTTTTTAGATATTTTATATATATATAATATTAAATTTTTATTGGATACTTTAGCGGATCAAAAAGTTCAAGCTGGAAGAGGGAGGATATATGCTCAAATTATAAAAATAAGCTATTTTTATTGATTGGTCCTTGTTCTTAATGTATTTTTAAAGACTTTTTTCGTTTTTTTACACAATTGTACAGTCAAGTAGATTGACAATATAAACATTTATACTCAAGAACACCATCAAAAATGAGTTTGTTTGTCAGATATGTCATTAACATCTGCTTATTGTTGGATAACAAAACAACAATGCTTATAGAAGGATACGGGAGAGTTTTCTTGTGTTTTTTTAATAATAATTTATATTCAAATAAAACTAATTCAAAAAACACGTTAACTTTTTTTCTGAAGTTTCTAATTATAGTTTAAGTACTTTTCAGCATCACGAAGAGATAATCAAAGGCCAAAAGGGTATAGCAAGAATTGCGGTTACTTTCAAAGTTAATTTGCTAAATATTCAAGAAAATTATTTATAATTAATCCTATTAACGTATTAAATTTATTTCTTTGAAAGAATAATGTATTAATTATCTAAATATCAAAAAAATTCCTACTTTAGTCGAAGATTTAATGACGATCAAACGAATTAAATTATTATTTACACGTTAAATCAGAGAAAATATAAATAAACTGCACAATTCTTCTTAAATTAAACACTTTAATAAATCTTTCAAAAAAATTGATGTTTTTTTATAATGTATAATTAATCTAAATAAGTCGTATTTGATAAGATGCAGTCACACATTCTATTAAATGTCTTTATACATAAATGAAGTAACGTTAAAAATATAAAAATTTAACGTTAGAAATGGCCTCATAATTAGCATTTTAATTTACATATTCACATGTTAATGACAGTATTATAAATTTTGTTTTTAGAATTAAGAAGAGACGGCAGATGGGACAGATGCTCCAATATTTGAGGAAAAATATAAATTTTTAGATGTTATTCACAATATGCAATTCTAAAACACTTGGCTTTCGAAGTTTCAATTTATAACTTACTTCCAGGGAACTTTCCGTCTGTAATTGTTATAGAGGAGACTATTTGAAGCACAAGTGTAATTTATAACTGTTATAAGGGGTAAATGTTACGTAAGGGACTGTATATTATAAATGACACGAAAGTATATTTAATACTGTACGTAATTTATAACTGTTATGAGTAATTGTTATGTAAAGGTAACTGTTACGTAGGGGATTCTTTATTACAGCTTATAATTAAGCTGTAATAAAGGGAAAATAAGGGAAAATATAGTTATAAATTATTTATTGTGATGAGTAAGGGTAAATGTTACATAGGGAACTCTATATTATAACTTATATTAATTAAACTTTTACATTATTTAACACCAGAAAAAAGTTTTAACTTATCTCCATTTATATATCAATTATATTTTCTAATTTATCAAACTTAGTGCCAAAAAAAATTTGCATTTTCGTATATAAAATTGAAGAAGAATAATTTAAATTTATCACCATCTTGAATCATATGATTTGAGAAAACAAACAAACAACTGCTATCGATAATTTTGGCTTCTTTTAAGCCACATGAACAAATGCCAAAAACCTATGATTTGGCAGCCTTTCTATACACAAACCAATAATAAAAATTTAATTCAAAATAAATCTCTCGCTTAATAAAAAAAATTAATTACAATTAAAGTAAAAAATACTCATGAGAACGTGTTTGAAAAGTAAATTTTTTACTTAATTAAAACCGATTTAACGCCTTAGTTGCCGAGCGAAATATTTTCTACGTGATATAAAAGATACAAAAATATCAATTACCATTTAAAATGAAATTAACAAAATTAAAATTCCTATTATTACGAAACTGATTATATTTAAATTTAATACGATTAAAAATTTGATCATATTTAACTTTAAATGTAATCAATTTCTTAACTGCATTAAAGTTTATGCAATTAGTAATAATTTAGTAAACGTAACTAATCTTTTAATCAAAAATTTAATAGATTTAAATTATTATTATTATTTAAGAAATTAGTATGATTTTGTAATTTGCAATTTAACAAAAATGGGAAAAACTATTTTTAATATATTGAAGTAACGCGTAGTGTTCAGATTTTGCTAGTATTTCGATAAGAAAACTTCGCTCTTAACTTATTCTAAGCAGTAAGACGTAAGAAAGAAGTCATAATATTCAGAATAAATCGACTTCAGATTACTAATGGTGCATTATTCCAATCTGTTCAGCAACGTGCACTCGGTATGGAAGATAAACGATCTCCAACCACTACACTACAATTGTTTTTCCCCCCTATACTTTATATATAAACATTGATACGTTTAGATGATCAACTTCAAAAATTTTTTATGCCTTACGCACCTATATATATATATATTTTATTTTATTTAAATTATTTTTCTCTCCATTCCTCTCTACGCAATTTCATAACCGTGTATCAGATATAATGCTGGTTTTATTTACAATTTTCCATTTTACTTATTTAATATCCGATTAAATTATTGAAAAAAAAATTAATAAAAATTCATTTTTTTGTATCCATAAATATACATTCTAGCGAAGAAAAAAAAATGTATTTCCATTTTTAACATTAAATTTCGATATGCTGTGTATATTTTCTTCTAAAAAATTTAACGTAGAATTTTTTTTAAAATTGTTTTTAAATTTCAAATCTCTAAATAAATCCTCTGTAAATTAATTTACTTTGTTTCTATTTAAAATTTCTTTTTCCAAAAAAATTCTCTCTTAAATTAGAAAAATTTTCTTTATTTATTTTAACTTCTAAAATAATTTTTAATCCGTTTAACCACTTTAAAGTTATTTTTATGGCTTATAAAATAATAATAAAACGAATTTATTTGAATTATTTTTAANTTAATGCCAATAAAAATGAGTGTCAAAATTGATTTACTTATTTTAAGAAGTCATTAAAAAATTGTTTAAAAAATTGATTAAATTTATAAATTTAAGCACCTAAAAAAATTTTTTTTCGTTAAAAACACTAATTTCAATTTTTATTTTTTAATTTTAATTATTATTAGGATCGAAAATGATTTCTAGTAAATTAGTCACGTCAACGTTATCAAAGGACAAAAGCTAGAATAATCCATCTTTTGTGTGTGTGTGTGTGTGTCTGTCTGTGTGTTGCAGCAGATGAGGAAATGAATTTCATTAATTTATGGAATCTTTCTAAGAATTCATCAGTAACAGAAATTCTGTTACCGATTTAATTTATTCAGAGCACACATTAACACATCGGGGAATTCTACAAATCGTAATCAATCCAACAGTAAAAATTTAATAAAATTTAGCAAAATTTAATGAAATAATTATTATTTTTCGAAACAAATTCGAACTTTTTTTTTATTTTCCTGTCATGAACACGTGTCTTAAATGATTAAATATCATCATTATTCCTCTACACTAAAGACCTTTATACGGTTATAAATCAATAATTAAAATTCCCCAAGCTTACATTTCGATATAATTGTTTTTAAATGGGTTTAATTGTTTTTTTTTTTAATTTACACGCCTTTATTTTTCTTAAGAAACGTGATTTTTTTAGATGTTTATTATAGTAATGCAATGTTTTTTTTGAATATGTATTCCAACGAATGATACTACTCAATCTAAAACACAGATAATAATCACGTGGAATCGATTTTACTCCGGGTGGCAATCTTGTTAATAAACACTAGTTACTATGGTAACAATTTGAAGGATAGTAATGCCCACATATAAAATATTGTGCAAGAATTTTTTTGTTTACTTAACTTTAAGGCTTTATTAATTAACTTTTTATTTTGTAATTATTGCACTCGATACTGGTTTGATAAAAATGCAACATTAGTAGTATTAGTAGCATTAGTAGTAGTGTTGAGGTACTGACAGTAGTAAAAGTAGTAGCAGCAGCAGCAATTGGTGGTGGTGGTGGTGGTACTAGAAGGGGTGATAATGGTGATACTAGAAGTAATTAATTGGTGGTGATGATGATAATAGTAGCGCTTGGTAACGTTAGTAGCAGCAGCAGATGTACTTGGTAGCATTACTAGCAGTAGTATTAGCGGCAGCAAAAGCGATAGTAATAATATTACTGTATTAGTAAATATACTAGTATCAGTAGCTATATTATAGCATAGCTCTATATCAGTGTAGTGGCATTAACAACGGTGTTAGATTGCTGCATTTTAACATTACTAACAGTAGCATTAATAGTAACATCGGTAAATCCATTTTAGTATTAGTAATGATATCAATATTAGTATTAATAGCGCATGAAAATTGATAGATAGTGACATTGTTTAAATCTATGTCGTTCATGAAAACTTTAGTTACGGATCATGAATAATAAATGAAGTTAAAGTGATCGTTTGGCAAAGGATAAATGCAGATCA